GAAAGTGTTTTCTTTAGGAGCCTTAGGCCACATTTGACAAACAAGACCACCAGAATAGAGGAAGCCCTTAAGGGCAAACATCCTTTGTAATTTCTTGAGGTATCTCATATGAAGTCTCATAAGCCTTATTGATCATCTGAAAATGTTGAGCAGCTATTATCAGAGTGATGTCTTTATAAAATTGAGCTGTATAAAATACAGTTTTATAACAACAAAAGTTCCTATAACGACAAACAAAATATTAAGTCCAATTTGAAGTATAGATCTGAACCAGGAGGCAATACCTGAGGGCAATCAGCTGAAGATATTAGAGAACTATGAGGTGTCAGTGGGCAATGTATTTATTTAATCATCTGGCTTGTGCCCAGATTTTACCTAGTCCCATCTCTCCCTTTTTTTTAAATTCTCACCTGAGGATATTTTTCTATTTATCTTCAGATAAAGTGGGAGGGAGATAGAGAGAGGGGAAGGGAGAGAGAGAGAAACATTTTGACAGAGACACATCAACTGGTTGCTTCCTGCACCAGGGCTGGGGACGAATCACAACCAAGGTACGTGTCCTTGGCTGAATCGAACCTGAGACTCATTGTTTAGTGGGCTAACGTTCTACCGCTGAGCCAAATGGGCTGGGCAGTCTCATCTCTATTTTACCAGAGGTGTTTTATCCAAGAGGCATTTACAATAGAGCAAACCTCACCTTGGTTAGCTAGGATGTGGTCAAGAGCAATCCTATTATCTAATATAACTTACACAAGGGAATTCAAAGATTTTTCCTGGTTGGCTATTGCTTTGGTGGTAGCTCCAGCAATTTTCTCCAAAGTTTTTGATAAGTTTTTAATCAAGTACTTATTTACTGCAATCCCTGCTTAAAGAAAAAGTATTTTTCCAAATCTAGTACTTTTACTGGGGTTGGCATTGCTAGGCATTGAACATCTTTGACTATGTGTGCAACTGGTTGAACATTTTGATGTGCGATTTAAAGATGATGCCCAATGTTGAGTTATCTTTCCAGGTAGAAATTAAGGAGAAAAAGAAAACAATAATTATTACAGTGAGTGTTTGGCCACTCACATTATTGTGAGATAGGAAGGAAGTTAAAGTAAAGGGGGAGGGTGGGATGAAGGTATCGATTATACTAAAAGTTTCTAAATTCTGGAGGGAAAGGTAAATGTTTCAATTCTGCTTACAAAGATCTAATTTTTCAAATTGCTGTAGGTCTTAGGTAGCTTAGGGGAAAAAAATCCTTATATTTGAAAAACAGATTAAAAATAGTAATATTTCAAATATAAGTCATAAAATTATTATCATTCTCACTACTTCATTCAGTCCCATGTTATTAATTCTTATTGATCTTGATCTTTTGTGTGTGTGTGTTTTGTTGTTGTTGTTGTTGCTAATCTTCACCTGAGGATATTTTTCCATTGGTTTTTTTAGATAGAGTGGAAGGGAAGGAGGGAGAAAGAGAGAGAAGCATTGATGTGAGAAAGACACATCGATTGGTTGCCTCCGGCAGTACATCGAACCTGCAACCCAGGTACATGCCCTTGACCGGGAATTGAACCCAAGACTCTCTGGTCTGCAGGCCGATGCTCTAACTGTTGAATCAAACCAGCCAGGGCTTGGTTAAAAAAGATCTTGATCTTTTTTAGCAGTTTTATGAATCCAGTTTTTTTTGTTGTTGATTTTTTTTTTTGAATTCTACAAATCTTTACTCAGTTTAATGGTATGATCTGAAAGTTTATTAGAACCATGTATGTTAGAGTAAGTGTCTGAGTCCTCTCCATGAATTTCTCTGAAGATGAAATATTTTTGTAGAAACACTTTTAAAAAATATATATGTTTTCATTGGTTTTTTTAGAGACAAGAGGGAGAGACAGATAGAAACCTCCACGTGAGAGAGAAACATTGATCAGCTGCCTCTGGCACACCCCTTATTGGGGATCGAGCCAGCAATCTGGGCACTGACCTGACTGGGAATCGAACTCAGACCTCTCAGTCCATGGGACTGGGAATCAAACCTGGACCTCTCAGTCCATGGGACAATGCTCAATCCACTGAGCCACACCAGCTGAGCTGTAGAAACACTTTTGCAAACGCATCAGAGTAAAATAATTGCTTGCAAATGACAAGAGACTTAAAAGATCTGGTGAGAGTTCATGAATACACACATAAAAATGATGCAAGTTGCCCTGGCCGGTTTGGCTCAGCGGTTAGAGCGTCCGCCTGCGGTCCAGAGAGACCCGGGTTCGGTTCCCGCTAAGGGCATGTACCTTGGTTGCAGTTTGTCCCCGGCCCTGGTTGGTCGTGCGGGTGGCAGCCACTCGATGTGTCCCTTTCACATCGATGTTTCCCTCTCTCTCTCTTCCTCTCTCTCCCTCCCACTCTGTCTGTACAAAAATGGAAAAATGTCCTCGGGTGAGGATAAAAAAAAAAAAAGAAAAGAAGGCTTGCTATAGGTGGCATTTGCCTGAAGGACATAGGGTAGAGGAAGGAGATTAAAAAAAAAAAATAGTACCATAATGCTGCAAAATTGGTTTAAGAAAAATTTTAAATATAGTTACAATACTAAAATATTACTGAAATAATTTTATGTCCTCCTATTCCAAAATAATACTTCTCATAGTATAGTACATTATCCCAGGGTTCTCAAAGTGTGGTCTAAGTGTGGTCTCTCAACCAGCAATATCAGATATCAGCAATATCAGCATTATTTAGGAACTCTTAGAAATGCAAATTATCCTGCCCCACTCTAGATCTTCAGATTCAGAGACTCTGCTTGTGGGGCCCACCCTTCTTTATGTGTGTGTGTGTGTGTGTTTTAAGATTTTTTAAAATTGATTTTTAGAGAGAGAGGAGGGGAGGGAAAGAAGAAGAGAGAGAGGGAGAGAAACATGGATGTGAGCGTGAAACATCAACTGCATGCCACCTACCGGGGATGGAACCTGCATACCGGGCATGTGCTGTGACCCAGAATCAAACTGGCAACCTTTCAGTGCACACAAGACTATGCCCAACCAACTGAGCTACACTGGCCAGGGTTCCTTCTGGGTTTCTTTTTATCCTCACCCGAGGACATTTTTCCATTTTTTTGCTCAGATAGAGTGGGAGGGAGAGAGAAGGAGAGAGAGAGAGAGAGAGAGAGAGAGAGAGAGAGAGAGAGAGAGAGAGAGAAACATCGACATGAAAGGGACACATCGAGTGGCTGCCACCTGCACAACCAACCAGGCCGGGGACAAACTGCAACTGAGGTACATGCCCTTAGCGGGAACCGAACCCAGGTCTCTCTGGACCGCAGGCCGATGCTCTAACCATTGAGCAAAACCAGCCAGGGCTCCTTCTGTGTTTTAACATATCCTCCCGGTGATTCTGATGCTCCCTACAGTTTGAGAATCACTGCATATTACAATTCTTCAAAATTAGTGCTACTGTGGATGAAGTGGCACCATTTAAATTCGGATACTTTTACATTAAAGGAAAAGGATTAACCTTTCACTTAAAAAAAATACTACAGAACTTTTAGTAAAAATTTATAAAGAAGAGATGGAGGGGGGAAAAACCTCTAACTTTTCTTGCTGCTAATTACAACCCGCTTAAGTGAAAAGCCAAAGATCAATTTCTATCTTCAAACCATTGACTGTGTCTGCATAACCAATAATTCATCTGCAAGTAAAGGAATTATCTTAGAAAAGTGGTTCTCCTATCTTGAACCAGAAATCAGAATCTCTAGGAATGAGGCCCAAGAATCTACTTCTGTTTTTAAGCTTTCAGTAGGCTGGTTATTTTTGTCCATTTTTTAAATTAATTTATTTTTGTTACAGATGTTTTTTCTTTTTCTCCCACAGACACCCTCAAGAATTTATATTAAAAAAATTTTTTTCCTTTATTGATTTTAGAGAGAGAGGAAGGGAGAGGGAGAGAGATATAGAAACATTGACTGGGGGGTTCAGGCCCACAACCTGGGCATGGGTCCACTCTCAACCACTGAGCCACACCGGCCAGACAGGAATTTACATTTTTAATAGCACCCTGGTGAACCACATGTTCACTTAGCTTTTGGAGCCATTGGCTTAGACCAAACAGTGATACCTAAATATACTTGTTACCAATTACGCACATTTATTTAATAAAAACTGTAATCCAGTTCTAACCTCTTATGGCTCTCTGGAACTATAATTCTGCTCTTCGGCTGAAGAATCTGCACTAAGAGGAAATGGGTAGGGCCACGTTAGCTGGAAATGTGATTTCAATGGAACTGCTGGATAGTTGTTCTCAAGTAACACAACCATCATAAATTAAAACAATGATAAACAGGATGGCTTTTTAAAATACTGTAGTTATTTAATGTGAACTTTAGAATTAAGTAAAAAATAACATGTTTCTAAACAAAACACAAAAACAAAACTACAACTTTTCACTGAGTGTAGTCGAAAACTTCGGCGTCCTGTGACAGGCCCCTTCCCTCCCTACACTTCACTAGGAGAAAGAAGGTGTAAAGCCCGACTTTGTGCCGGTCCTTCAGCACGGTTCGCGCAGCCTTGCACACATTCTCTACGATAACAGGGAGGCCATTACATCATAAAAGTAAGAGCACAGATTCTGAAATCGGACTAACACCACTTTTAGTCCAACTCATGAATACGGTCAACATGCTGATTAGGCAGGCGTCTTTGGGCCAGGTCCCTAATCTGCAAACCCGAACCCTACCAGCGCCCACGGAGATACTGTCTGTAACGCGTTTATCAAATCCCCGGGCGCCGCTGGCATTTTGCGGACGGAAATGTCGCAGCGGGGTTAGCCCCGGAGTGAGCAGCGGGATAGTCGGAGGGCAGCTGATTCTCGAAGCGAGGCTTCTTTTTCCCTTCTCGAGAGCTAACCGACTCTCGCTCCGCTGACTCCGCTGGACGCCGGAAAGAACCAGCGTACAGCCAACGCAGGGTCCCTTTAAGAGCCTGCCTCCCTCCCCCGCGCCTGGCGAAGGCGGAACCGGAAGTCGCGAGGGACGCACCGGTCCCCAGCATGGCGGCCGCCTGCGCCTCCGGGCAGGCTGTTCCCGAAACCGTGGCTGTCCAGCTACTGGGTGTCCTGTGGTTCGTGTCAGTCACCACCGGACCCTGGGGAGCTGCCGCCGCCGGGGGCGAGGAGACGCTTAAGTGCGAGGACCTCAAAGTGGGACAATATCCTCTGTGAGGAGCTTCCCCTGGGGGCGAGGTAGATTTGGGGTTGCGAGTGGGTCGTGGCCCTCAACACGGGCTCGGGTTGTACCGAAAGGAACGGTGACCTGCGGCCTCCAGTGACCGAGGGACCCTGGGAGGTGAAGAGACATGAGGGGGTAGGACAAACTGGCCACCATGTGTGATTTCCTTGGGATTTTACGATTGTTGGCGCTTTTTCTTCTGTTTACTTATTTATTTATGTATTACTGGTGGTTTCATCGGTTCAACAAACACCTACATGCTGAAGTATGCAAGGTCCTAATCTAGACACTAGTAATAAAAAGATCGACAGGCTCCACCCTGGAAGTTTGCCGACTGGAAGAGAGACAAACAGTAGTTAATAACCATAAAGCCAGCGTGTGTTGTCCAGTTATCATTGACTTGACATGTATTACCTTTTATCATTCTCAAACTCCGTGAGATGCCAGCCCGAACCGGGGCAAATTCCTGCTCCACTTTGAAACCGTGGACAAATTATTTGAACTCTGTTTTCTCTGATTAAAAATATAGATTAAAAAATGGAACCAATTTAAAGGTTTGTTGTGATCAGTTAGTACTACAGGCAAATCAGAATAATGCCTGCCACATAGTAGGGACTGTATGTGTTAGCTGTTTATTTACAGAAGAGAAAACAGGCTGAGGGGTTGAGTGGGTCTGTTCATTGTAATAGTTCTGATAAACTGAGGAACAGTATGAACTGGGAGTTGCATTCAAATGAAAACAGCTATTTTTGTACAAAATTAGATAGTTTTATACAAATGGTGTAACAGAAAAATTAACAACAGAAGCCAGATTTATAAGAAAGACTCTATGAGAGAAAATACGAAAATTAAGAACATTCTATCCTATAGTATTTTTATGTGAGTTGAGGAGAGCCTGTGGTTATTTGTTTTTTTTACAGAAGAGCTCTTATTTGCTGAATACCATTTTGCTTGGAGTTTGAGAATCACTAACCTAATAAATTGAATTCTGTTCTTGGCAAAAATGTCAAGGTGGTTCTCTCTAAGAAAATAATTGGGCAATATGAAGAGTTGTGCTTTTTGAACCCTCGAGAGAAGTGGCTGAGCATATAGGACTATGAGGTGATAATTGGAAAATATCTGTTAATCCTGGCATAAAAATGAGGTTTCCAATACTGATTCAAAAACCTTTAACAGAGACATCTTGTGAATACCTTACTTACCTCATTGTAGTGCCAATAAAATATTTAGGAAACAGAAAAGCACCCACGTATTTTGAACATCTATAAGAATATAATTATTGTATCTGTTTCCAAAGGCTTAAAATCCTGTTGGGGAGGCCTTGTAGACCCACCTGAAACACCATCTTCCCTGCAGTCTGCTGGACAGTGCCCTGGGCTTGGAATCAGAAAACCTGATTTTACTACCTGTTGCTTATATGTCTTTAGATAAGTCACTCAAACTTTGAGCCTCAGTTTGTGCTTCTATAATGTTGGAATAATAGTATCTACCTCACAGGGTTTTCATGTTACATGAAATTATGTATATGGCAATACCTGGGACCCCATAAATTAGTTCAGTCAAATCTCTGGAAACTTTTTTTAACCGCAAAACTCTCTTACAGTAATTTGGTAAAGATTTTAATTTCAGTTTTTCTTTGTGCTTTATGCTTAACCCCTAACATATTCTTTAAGGATAGCATTTGCTAGAGCTTTTAGTATATATTAAGTTAATAAACTTTCCCTGTAATAAATTAATGTTCAGGTATTATTTAGTGACACTGACAGTATGATTGTGCTTGTGTTTTTGACATGGACAAATTAACAGCCTCTCTTTACATGTAAATATAAACATAAGTATATATGAGATATTAAACTGATGGTAATGTTTTGTGTTGGAACAGAGTTCATGTTTCCTTAACTTTTCTTAAATATATTTGTAAAGATCCAAAAATAAATGATGCCACACAAGAACCAGTTAACTGTACAAACTACACAGCTCATGGTAAGACTTCCAGAAATATGTCTTTAAAAATAATTTTTAAAACATTATTTCAGTCCTGACCAGTTTAGCTCAGCGGTTGGAGCGTCGGCCTGTGGACCAGAGTGTCCTGGGTTCGGTTTCCACTAGAGGCACGTACCAAAAAAAACCCAAAAAACATTATTTCATAGCTGAATGTATGATCACTAAAAGTAATGTGTTTTTTCTTGAGTTACAATGTTATTCAGTTTCCAGAAGAACTTAAAATTGGAGAACTGGCTAGAAGATTTAAAAAAGAATCTTATTCCATTTAATTATATAAACTGGGAAGTTTTATGTTTTTATTAATTTTTTTAACATTTGGAATCAGTTTATATAGCTGTCTTGATGCCCTTTATTTACCAAACTATGTTATGCAAAAGTGCTTCTTTAGTTAGATTTTTAATTACTTGTAAAGAACTTGAAATGAGACTGTTAGTCAAATGAGGTACAGTGAGCAGCTATATCATCCACATTATGTACTTGTAAAATATACTTAGGCACATCCTAAGTATGAAAACAGTACAGTAAAATTTTAAGTATGCGTCAGTATTTTCTTTTCTTTTTGTATCAGTATTTTCTCAGAGCTGTTTTGATAATGGATAACAAACCTTCAGCCTAATTATTTTGGGGACTGTATTTTAAAATATGTGTAATACCATATAAAAATTAATAATATTTTTTTGTTTAGTTTTCTAAAAGAGTATATGTTGGAAGGGAGGCAGATAGATGTATAGTGGAGCTATTTCACTTTCTTATTTTGCATGGTACATAATGATGGTAATTACATACTATTGTTTTGAGAAAAGAGCAACTATTAAATATATACTGATGGTTTTATTTATTAGTAAATCAATAATTGATGTTCCTTTATAAGTGAAAGCTATAAAACAGTTTTCTTATGTAAATTAGATTAAAGGAATTATTTTTGTTACAGCAAAAAACTTAGTTTCTTAAAAGTATCAAATAATTGACCTCTTGGTTATGAATTTGTATATATTTTTTAAAGCAGATATCCTTTGTCTTGTTATAGCTTTATATTTTGTCACACTGTTAGCCCAATTCTAGTCAGCAGAGATATTTGAAAGTAAGTTGTATTAAACTTTTATAATTGAAGTTTTGCTATGTGTATTAGATAATATACATATCTGATTTGCATAGTAGATATTGCTTAACATGCATACATTTATTTTATTTAGATGTACTAAATTTAAAGGAACTTTGCAAGGAATCCCCTCCTCTTTAAGTTAATTTATAAGTATACTCTGATTTCCTGTTTTATATATTTGCCTGTCTTTTATATTATGCTTTTGGAATACAGAGAATAAAGTTAACACACGTAAAGAAGAATCAGCTTTCAAATATTCAACCACTTAGTAAAAGATGTTGGAAATCTGTGAATACTGTTGTGACTCAGGTATCTAACTTTAAACTAGGAAGCAGGCAACCAGCTAGCTGTCCTGCAGGGTTCTTTGCAGGTATGAGAATTTTTAAGGAAGTTAAGTAATATAACAAGAATAGTTTCTGCCCCCAAAGAGCTCTGCCCTCCAGTTAGGTATCTGTTTTGTATAAAATAAGTTTTGATCCACTAAAGTAGTTATTGGTAAATATGTTTATAAACATATAAAAAAATTAAATGATCACTCATTGGTGATGTAGAGAGCTACAGGAAAATAAAAGGAAGGCTTTCTATACAAGGGGATGATATGATTATTCATTTAGAGAGAATAAACCAAGTGCCTAACTGAATCTGAGAACATATGTAAAACATTGTAGATGAATAAATAAATGACTTTAAATCATTATCATGATTTTAAAAAGAAAAAGTTTCTGAGACAGATATGAATCACAGGACTTCTGCATATGGCTGTACAATCTTTGCATGATACAAAGGTGTCCAACCAAGAGCTGGGATAGGTTCTGTCATCTCAGCCCAACACTCAAGAGACTGTTTGTTCACAGGAAGTTTTTTTTTTTTTTTTATCCTTACCCGAGGACATTTTTTTCATTTTTTGTTCAGAGTGGGAGGGAGAGAGAGAGAGAAACATCGATGTGAAAGGGACACATCAAGTGGCCGCCACCCACAGGGCCCAACCAGGGCTGGGGACAAACTGCAACTGAGGTACGTGCCCTTAGCGGGAACAGAACCTGGGTCTCTCTGGACCGCAGGCCGACACTCTAACTGCTGAGCCAAACTGGCCAGGGCCACAGGAAGTTTTTAAAAATTGTTCTTTTAAAATACACAAAGACTAGTGGACTGGCCATGGTGAATCACTTCTAAGTCCTGATCAGAGAAGACATCAAAATGACCGTTGAAACATGAAGTTTCATTTTCTTAAACTACCTTCTGGGTAGGAATGAATGGGAGGAATGTTTTTGTTTTGTTTTGTTTTTATTTTTTAACTTCTCACCTGAGGATATATAAATTTTTTCTATCTTCAGATAGAATGGGAGGGAGGGAATGAGAGAGAAACATCAACTGGTTGCCTCCTGCACAACCCCGACCAGGGCTGGGGATGAACCACAAACAAGGTATGAACCCTTGACTGGAATCAAACCTTCGACTTGTTGGTCCACAGGCTGACACTGCTGAGCCAAACCAGCCAGGGCAAATGGGAGGAATGTTTTTACAAAGAAGGGTGGTTGGGGGTAGAGAGTAGGAATTGGGACCAAAGATAAAGAAAATTCAACTATAATGATAAATTGATATGATCTTAAAATGGTTCCCAGTTAGCCCCATGCCAATTAACAAGCATTTATTTATTGAGAAATTATTTATAATAAATAATTTAATAAATCAACTCAAAATAACAATGAAAATTAATTTATATATTATAAAATATTTATTGAGAATTTATTTAATTATTGAGAAGTTATTATGTGGCAGGCTTCTGCATGGCATAGATAACACGGAAGAAGACAGATCTCTGCTCTCAAGGAGTGTTCTGCCTAGATTATATATATTTTTTTAAAAATATTTTTTATCAATGAAATACAAAAGTATTTAGACTCCAACTCCAAAAATTTTTCTTTGCTCCTTTGGCAGGTGTTTTTTATTTCCTTAAGTTTTTATTGAAATATATTTACAGAAAAGTACACATAAGTATGACTCAAATGAATTTCCACAAACTGAACACATGTATGAATGCTCCCTAATCAAGAAACATCATTATCAACATGCCAAAAGCCCCCATCATGTTCTCTTACAGTCATTATCCTGCCTTAATGGATAACCATTATCCTAATTTCTAACAGCATAAATTAGTTATGCAAAGAGTGTGTTATTTTTTTATTTTTTATTTATTTTTTATATCCTCACCCGAGGACATTTTTCCAATTTTTTGTTCAGATAGAGTGGGAGGGATAGAGAGAAAGAGAAAGAAACATCAACATGAAAGGGACACATGGAGTGGCTCCCTCGCGCACGACCCAACCAGGGCCGGGGACAAACTGCAACCGCAGTACATGCCTTTAGCAGGAACCGAACCTGAGTCTCTCTGGACCGCAGGCCAACGCTTTAACCGCTGAGCCAAACCAGCCAGGGCAAGAGTGTGTTATTTTTAAACTACTTATTTGGAGACAATTTCAAGCTACAGAAAAGTTGCAGGAATACTAGTACAAAGAACACCCATATCCCTGGCTGGTTTGGCTTAGTGATTAGAGCGCCGACCCCACAGACCAGAGAGTTCCCAGTGTTTGGTTCCCCGCTAAGGGAACGTACTTTGCATTTTGTCCCTGGCCCTGGTTGGGGTCGTGTGGGTGGCAATCACTAGATGTGTCGATGTTCCTCTCTCTTTCTTCCTCCCTCTCTCCCTCCAGCTCTCTCTGAAGATAAATGCAAAAATGTCCTCGGGTGAGGGTAAAAAAAACTCAAAAACGTAAACAAAGAACACTCATGTACCCTTTACCCAGGTTCACCAGTTGTTAACACATCCTTTTTGCTTTATCATTATGTGCTCATGCATACTCTCTGAATTTGTGTATATATATATTCCCCCTAAATACATTTGTGTTTTTCCTAAGAATAGAGATATTCTCCTAACATAGTTAAGATGTAAACTTCATTAGATTTAATATTAATATACTTACCTTATCATCCATATTCTAGTTTAGTTAATGCCTTTATAGCCCTGGCTGGGTGGGTTGGTCATAGTGTCCTGTACACCAAAAGGTTGCAGGTTCAATTCTGGTCAGGGCACATGCCTAGGTTGTGGGTTTGATCAGCAGTTTGGGCATGTACTGGAGGCAACTGATTGATGTTTCTCTCTCCCTCTCAAAATCAATAAAAACACTTTGGGTGAGTGTTAAAAAACAATAATAACTTAAAAAAATAATGCCCTTGTAGCATTTCTCCCCTATTTACAGGATCCCAAGATCAGGGCTTTGCCTTTAGTCTTCTTTAAACTGGAACATTTCCACAGCTTTGTCTTTAATGACACACATGTCTGAAGACTACAATCTCTTATTTCAATAGAATGTTCCTCGTTTGGGACTGTCTAATATTTCATTAGATTATATTTAGGTTATACATCCCAGGCTGGAAAATACATAAGTGATGGTGTGTCTTCGGCATCTCACATCTGAGACACATGATATCCATCTGCCTCTCACTGGTGATGTTAATTGTTAAACGTTGATCATTCAGATTTTCCCACTGTATAGTTAATATTTTTTCCTTTGCAAAAATACACAATCTTTGGGGATACTCATTAAGACTATGTAAATATCCTGTTCCTCATCAAACTTTTCCCTAGACTTAGCATCCATGGTCATTCTGGCTTGAACCATTCTTTACAATGATTGTTGCAAAATGATGATTTTCCAACTCCAGCACTCCCAGAGAAGAGCTATCTTTTCTTAAAATTTTTTTTCTATATTGATTTCTAGAAAGAGGAAGGGAAAGGGAGTGAGAGATAGAAACACTGATGAGAGAACATCGATTGTCCACTTCCTGCATGCCCCCCACTGGGATCGGGCCCACAACC